TCATAACATCAAACTCTTTCCGAACAATCTTCAGTTTTGGGTGTTCATAAAGGAATTTTCCCACTGAAGCAAAACGTCAAGAGGACGTGAGAGTACTGGTTTCACGAGAGTACTGGTTTAGTACTGGTTTCAACCTCAGTGAGAATAAGAACAAATTTTACATTTTTTTGCGAGGCTTTTTAATGAAAGTGTGATCACCACCACCTTCAAGAGTGAAGTGGAAAGATTGAGGAACATTGTAGGACTTGCCAGAATGAAAACCAGACTCTGAACCTGAAAGAGGAGCACGAGTATGAATAAGGAAGTCGTCGGCAAGTGCATTGGAATAAGAACGCGTCATCGAGGCCGAACGCGTCGTCGAGGCCATAGCAGATCTCGTAGCTGTCGGCGTCTTTTGCTGAATCCCGAAATCTTGTAGCAGTTGACGTCTTGTGCTGATAGCGTGAACTGCGTCTCTTGCTGAGAGTGTTGGGCGTCAGGATGAAGGGACAAAGCAGTCGGTGTCTCCTGCTGAGAGCGTCGAGAAGAAGTTAAAGTCGGGACGACCCAGTCGTGTCGTGCGACGCAAACGAGGGTCAATGTTCTACTGTTAGGGTTTCACCTCATGACGAACCCTAGCATCTACTACACGGGATATCTCGCGTCGTCTATATATATATATATGTATGCGTGTGTGTCTGCGCGGTCGCAACCAGTGGCCTATTGTATGACAACTTTGGTGTAAGTTCCCTATGTTCGAATCCATCTGAGTCGAATTAAGCACATATGGGGTGGATAGATAAATATTCAATATATCCATTATATAAATATTATTCCCCAAATCCCTTCCAAATGCCCAAAGCAGGAGCATTACTCCCTTGTATACCACTCCCAGCATTCTGCCCTGGTTTGGCCCACTACAATGCCCCATTCGCGGAAAAGTGAAGGCAGCGAGGAAATTGAGGGTTGCTTGGTAAGGATATATGAATATATAATAATTAAATTAATTAAATTCAATTAAATCACTACCCTGAATTTTCATCAGCTTGTTTATGTGCAAATTTTTTATTTGTTAGTGTTCCAATTGATATTAATAGTTATTAATTTAATTAATTGTGTTTGAGTTAAAATTAATAAATTTAAAAACTAATTTTATAATATTAAATTTTTTAGCAGTTCATATATATTTATATATATCAGTGATCGATACAATATGCAGAATTTTAAAAACTAATTAAGATGAATTTTAGGAGATTTGAAAAATGCAATATCTTTAAAATAAACTAAAATCAGCCAATTAGCGATATTTGTATATTACAGAATTATAGTTCATAGGCATGTCCGGAGGCAATTAAGCAAATTCTTTAACTTCAATAAAACCATAAAAAAGGATGTTGGAATTTGATGCTTGCCAAAGAAAATATATTAGCAATAACGGTCAAATTATGAGAACTGTTTTAGTTCCCTAGCTCTGTTGAATTAATTATGTTGACATCTAACTATTACGTTTCAGCAATAGATTCTAAGTAGAGTTGGTTGGTGCATTACAATCACGGTGGATCTATAAGCAAGGATTCAGTTGACACAACCTATTGGATAGGATGAGAAGTAATTGAATGGAAGGCATCAGCTAAAGATAACTTAAAAAATGGCTCCAAGGAGACTACTAAGGCACCAAGGTGGGTTGCCATCAGGTGAGAAGGCATCGACAAAAGCCAAAATAAATAGATTGCAGTCCCCAAGGTGATGTCTCCTAAGTCGACAAGGAGACTTTTCTTTTGGTGCCAAAATAAGGTGTCACCAAGATAGAAGGTGTCAATAGAAGCTAACCAAAAGAGATGTATCTAAGGTAGGAAGGCATATACAATTTTTATTGAAAGAAATGCTAGGGACATCTTTGGCTGGGTTTTAAGGTGTCGGTACGGTGTAATTGGCTAGCCGAAGATTTAGAACTATCGAAAGGAAATCTGTGGTCAACTAGCCTAGGAGAGTTTCTAATGGACAGCATCTATTTAGCAAGGAAGCGCTAACCAACATGATTTTTTTGTTCAGTTGTCTTGAACATGATTTTTTTGTTCAGTTTGCACCATTTGGTGACCAATTAGTAAGCATTGAGAATTAACCAACATGGCATTAGTTGGCTTGATAGGGACTCCAATTTTGTGATGAGTAGGCTCCTAACCAGTCTTTACCTGATGGGTTGAGATCACACCAACCCAGCATTACTTGGCTTAGGGATGAATTTTGGTTGAGAATGGATTGCCCAATAAGAGTTCATTAAAACTCTGGAGGTGTGTTATATAAGATTTAGGGAGGGCAAAAGGTTTGAAATTTGGGCCTGAACCAATTGATTCAAAGGGTTAGAGTAGGCTTTAGTTCAGCTAGTCTTGGGCTTCAACTTGAGCCAAGGATGAAGATATCTTCTTGGCTGTTAAGTGTGCTAGGTTCAGCTACTAATTTGAGGTGGCGGGGCATGTTCCCTAGAGGAGCTATGGGGGCAATGAGATCCTAGCTAGGGCATTCATATGGTGACTAGGTTTAGACTATGGTTTTGATATCTAAAGAAGGACTTTAGAGGGTCAATTGATGCTATATAAGATCTATTGATGATTAATTGTATGTCATAATAGAAATAATTCTTATTCATGTCAACCAACTTGCTCTTAGAGGTTGACTATCTTGATTGGCCTTCAATAAGCAATCTCTTCCATTGCTTTTCGTCATTGCCACCATTGAGTTTATAATTTTTTTTTTTTTTTTTTTTAAATAAAGGACGATTTTTTTGTATCTTTTAAGATTTATGATATCTCAATTATATAAAATGATGTTTATGGAATGATGGTGAAAAGCATAATAATAAGAAAAGTTGATCCCCTTCATCAACAATTATATTAATATCTTTAATATCACAAAATATTGAACTAAATTTGTTTAAATGTGATTTGATTAGCATTCCTTCTTTATAATGCTTGCTTTTCATAGAGTTTGTTGTGGAGTTGTCTTGAACAATTACTCTAGTTTGAGATGTAAACCTTCTACGATTGACTTCTGAAATATCATTGTCAATGTCTTATTTCTACGTATTTGGATTATTATACTTAGTTTTTTGGTCTTTTCATATTTACTTATTGGCATCAGCATCTTCAAACTCGTTATGAATGCCTTTATTAGATCTTCTTGGGAAAGAACACAATGCATTGGCACATTAAACCTTTTTTAATTTAACATCATTTTCATCAATTTTAAAACTGTGCTTTAACACCAGTTTACTGTAATGAGTGGAAGCATCATAAAGATCGAAATGATATGCTTTAGCAAATCACAAACAAGGGAAAAAGTCTTTGAAGATACTAAGATTTTTGTTGTTTGACTTCAATTATAAGCTTACATCTATGGTAGGTAAGCGTGGATTTAATCTAATATTGAAACCACAGGAGATGTAAGAAAAAGATGGAATACTCATTTCCCCTTTCAAATACCATATACGCACTCTTACAATAAAGGAAATCTCAAACGTAATATTTTAGATTAGATTAACTACAATGAAGTTTTTTGTAGCTACAATGATGAATTCTCTACTTCTCCAATGAAGCCTTCACCTGCAAGATGGCATGTTGAAATGAATGAGAGATCAAGTTATTTTTATAATTTATATTTTTTAAAACCTGGCTAAGGATCCACTTTATATAGAGCTGACTAAAACCAAAAAAAGAAAAAAAGAAAAAAATATAATAATAATAATAATAATAATAATAAAAAAAGAAAAAAATATAATAATAATAGTAATGCTAATAATAGTAATCATAATAATAATAGTAACAATAATACTAATAATAATAGTAATGATGATGATGATTAGTAATAGTAAAAAAAACTTTATTGTTCATCACCTCATCCCAACTTCCAAGACCCAATTCTGAGATTTGACAAGGATGCCATGCCATCAGTCTAATGTAACTTCATGTGCTCTGCTGGAGAATTCTAAGAATTCTATTAAAAAATAGGTGAGTCAACATTATTAATTTACGTCTATTCCTCTTTATATCTTCTTATCCCATCAGACAATTCTTAAAGGCTATTTCTTATTTATTTACCCATAATACTATATAATCAATTTAAGATTCTTAAACATGTTGCATCTAAGTATTATTTTATCTATTAACAACATTGATTAATAATTAATATTACATCACTAAATTTTCATATCATATGCTTAATCTTTGTTTTAATGACTCTAAAACCTGTATCTCTTAAACATTTGTCCATTTTTCTAATTTATTATATGTTTTCTCAATTTTCTTACCATTTAAAATCATGTCATTGACAAAAGTATGCACTATGACTCCTCAATTTGGGTACTCACTTTTGGCGGCCTTTGGAACCAATATGTTTGCAACTATCCAACATAGGACTATTCCCACTGTTCCATGTTCTTAATCATTATGGATTTTGATTTTCTCACCACCCTTTTCTGGTGAGACTTATAGATTTATTCTAATCATTATACCTCAATTTTATTTATTTATATCAAATTTAAAAGAATTTTTTTTTTTCCTTTTAACTATCTATGTATTCTCACTTCACGGCCAGTCTCATTAATAATGTATGATTTATGTTTTGTCTCTCTTCAAACTTCTATAAAAATGTTCTTAATGAAATTAGTCATTTTACCCATATCAAGTTTTGCTTAAGTATAAGTTTTATTTGTCTATTTTTCTAGATTTATCTGTAAGTTTAAGCATTTTTTATCTTTTAAATTCTACCTTCGTATTCTAGGTATTTTTTTCTTTTCAAAAACAATGTCCTTTTTTGTGGGTATAAACGATCATCCTTTCTCTTACAATTTACAGCCAAACTGCACCTGTAGAAACACTTCACTAGATGATATTTTCATCTCCATAAGAAATAATATTTGTTTAGTTCTTTTTTACACTACGTGAAGTTTTAATATAAATTATTAATGTTTTTTTCTTGTTTTTTTTATTCAAGAATGCTGTTCACTGACACATTTTCTTCTACAGGTGGCCATCCCTCTATATAACATCTTAACAAACTCATTACTGCCACTAGTTTCCTATCCACTTCATTTTCTTTTGTGGGCAAATTCTTAACACACTTCATGTGTCAGTCAAGTGACTTGGGAGTCCAAGCAGTATATAGAAAGCCTCTTGGCCTCTGTTTTTTGGTATCCTTTAGGAATGCAGCTTTTAATTTAAGAACATACCGAACGCTTGTTCTGGTTCTAACGTTCTTCTCCTATGCTGGTTACCATGCCACTAGAAAAACCACAAGTATTGTTAAAAGTGTGCTTGATCCCAAGAAAGCAGACTCAAACTTTTTAGCTTGGCCGTTTCCTAGCAATATTCTGTTATTCTATAATCAAGAAGAGAAACCACTGCACTCTAGTGGTTGGTCTCCATTTAACAGTCCAAATGGTTCAGCGATGCTTGGGGTGATTGACGTTGCTTTCCTGTCGGTATACTCAATTGGCATGTTTTTTGCTGGACATTTAGGAGATCGTTTGAACCTGCGATTCCTTCTTACTATAGGAATGGTTGGGACTGGCTTGTTTACTGCCCTCTTCGGCATTGGTTACTGGTTAAACATTCACAGTTTCTACTATTACTTGGTAGTTCAGATATTTGCAGGTTTGTTTCAATCTACTGGATGGCCTTCAGTTGTAACTGTTGTTGTTAACTGGTTTGGAAAGAGGAAGAGGGGATTGATCATGGGAATATGGAATGCCCACACTTCAGTTGGAAATATCTCTGGCTCATTGATTGCTTCTGCTTTGTTGAGTTATGGGTGGGGCTGGTCTTTTGTCATTCCTGGCCTTCTTATTTCAGTCATTGGACTGACTGTATTTCTTTTCTTGCCTGAGAGTCCTGAGGTTGTTGGAATAGATAAAAAAGATGCACAGTTGAAGCCTAGCAGGGCTGGAAATGATGAGCTTCCTCTTGAAGGAAGAGAAGAAAAGATCAAGGATAAAGCAGTGGGATTTGTTGAGGCATGGTGGATACCTGGGGTTGCTCCATTTGCCTTTTGTCTTTTCTTCTCCAAATTGGTTGCTTATACTTTTCTCTACTGGCTTCCATTCTATATCAGTCACACAGGTACTTGATGATTGTCATGGGCTTTTATTTGCTATTGTTATGCTGTTGACTAATGCTGAGATCTGTAGGATTTCTTGTGCCTTCAGTATTAAGTTTAAGTTTCTTAATGCATGAGGACTCGAGCTACATATGAATTTCACTTGATATTTTATAAAAAAATAATCCAACGTGAACCCTTGAAGTTTTTTCAGTTAAATGGATCTATCTAGCGGTGTTTGTAAAGTGTTATCTTGACATATGCATTATTCTTACTATTGAATCAATAAAATTTATTCTTCTTTATTAACTTCTGGCATTAACAAATAACTAAGCTAGTTATAGTTTTTCCATCCAGGCATGCATCTGATTCTGCGATATTTTGACAAATCTGGGTTGATTAACGTGTCTCCTTGTATAATTAGAACTGACATGTCTCAAATACTTCAAAACCTTATATTCTAGTTTCATGAGCTAAAACACCATTAGAGCTTGCAAAAGTGTGTTGCAATTTAAATTTGGGAAAAGAAGTGAAAGACAATGGTTTTCCATTACTTCTGACGGATACATAAGGCATTACAATTATTTGTATAAATGTTTACCTCTTTTATTTCTATTGTCTTTCATTGTACTTGTTTTAAACACATGTTCTATTTTTCATATTTTTTATTACGTTGGATGGTACTCCCATAATGTAGCCATTTCTCAATCAATTTATGCATTACAAGGTAAAAATGAGAAAAAAAAAAAAGAAGCCAACAATAGAAGACAGTGATTGATATGAGACGTAATGTGGTCTAGATCCTATAAAGACTAATAGTGATAGTTGATTGATAATTTGATTAGATTACTTGGATCTTAGCTTCTAAGCGATGAATTAAAACACCAATATGATATGCCCATGGATACGAGTTCATCATTAAATAGTATTGCTGCCAACGTAGCAAGTTGGTAAAAAACTCCATCTAAAAAATTTTGGTTTGGAAGTGAAAAAAGGTTTTAGTGCAAGTTTCTTCTATTGTCTATCATAATAAACTATTTTAATATAATAATAGCAGGATTACAGTGAACAAATCTCCATAGTCATAGCTCCAAATTTTTGTGAAATAACTTGCATTTATTGGCAAATAGTACGCAATGCAAAAAGGACTCATGTAGACGACCCCACTTAGTGGGATAAAGGTTTGCTGTTGTTCTGACTAAGATTTTGAAACTACTAGTGAACTGAAAGATGTTATTACTTGGTAAACAATGTTACTATGAAATTGACAACAAATCATGATATAATTTAAGAAATAGAATGCTGCTAAGTGAAGTAAAGTATATTCAGGTTTGATTGTTAACAACCTGGTAGAATGAAATAATGATGTTTTAACTGAATATCTATCCTTAACTGATCTAGATCTCATTGACTATTGACTTCTACAGCCATTGGAGGTGAATATTTATCCAATTCGAAGGCTGGAGCCTTATCAACATTGTTCGATATCGGTGGTGTGTTTGGTGGCATCTTAGCAGGTCACATTTCTGACAACCTTAATGCACGGGCAATCACAGCTGCAAGTTTTATGTATTGTGCCATCCCTGCACTCTTCTTTTACCGAGTTTATGGGAGCACTTCCCTCTTCTGCAATGCTGCTCTCATGATCATTACAGGCTTGTTTGTGAATGGTCCTTATGCTCTTATCACAACAGCAGTTTCAGCTGACCTTGGCACCCATGGCTCCCTGAAGGGGAATTCCAGGGCCTTGGCTACTGTGACGGGTATCATCGACGGAACGGGATCAATGGGCGCAGCCATTGGACCACTCTTGACTGGATATCTGTCAACACAAAGCTGGAGTGCAGTATTCACTATGCTTATAGTAGCTGCGCTCATGTCTGGTCTGTTACTTACGAGGCTTGTGGCGGCTGAGGTTAAGGTGAAATTGAGGGCGAGGTCTTCTATGTTGGAGCAAAGTCTATTAGTCTAATATGATTCACATTACAGACTTTCACTGGAAGCAAGATAGTGTTGGAACAAGGAGAGATTTGGTTGTCATTTATTTAGATGAATATTTAAATTTGTTAAGAGTATAAATTATAGAATAAATTCCAATTCCTTACGTTCTCAATTTTCTTCTTTCTCTTTGCCTTCGTGTCAAATGATACTTGTATGAATATTTGTACTATATTTTCTACTGAAAACATGTTCTGTAAAAGTTCAGTCTGAAAGTCTTACTCAGATTTCTGCTTTGCTCAAGCTTGTTCTTCGGTTATTTTCTTGGTCATGTAGGCAGTGCAATTAAAGAACAACAAAAGCCAAATTAGTGGGATTTATTTATGAGCGTCATTTTGTATTACGAGAATGTGAATATTTTACACCTGGGTAGAAATACAAATGAACTAAATTTTATGTTTTTCTATGATATTTATTGAATGCATCTTTCCCATAGTTTCATTAATGAATAAAGGCCTATGACAAAGCTTAAGAAGTGATCTTATGTTAAGTGTTATTTTGAGATTGTTGTAACTTTCAATGTTTATTTGTATCCCTTAAGATAAGATGTTTGTGTGTTGTTGACCCCTTGCATATCAATTGGATGGCAACATACATCTTTTTAACTTGGTCAAAATGCTTACATTTTTTTGTAAATAGCACTCAATTGATTCAACTATCCCTTCCAGAAATGTGTCAAGGAAGTTACAGTAAGGGTCTGTTTGGGGCAGCTGTAGTTGTTTGAAGAAGCAGCTGTGAAGTTGTTGCAAAAGTAATTATTTTTCAAAAAATTGTGGTGGCTATTATAAATTTGTTGTATTTTTAAAAATTCAAATTGTAGCTTTCTGCAGCGCAACAGTTTACAGATCAAGTTGGAAAAAAAGTTTTTTACCATAAAAAATCATAAAAAGCAGCAAGAAAGCAATTCTTCAAACAAAATTATGGTGACATCCATAAAGTAAAGCTGACATAAAGTATTCCGAAATAGATCCTAAATATTCAATTGTTCAATAAGATGAGTGAAATAAATAATTACAAGTTATTTTTAATGTGATTTTTAAGTCAAAACAATTAAATTTTATGGATTATTATTATTGGTTTATTTATTTTTTAAATGTTAAAGCCAAAAAAAAAGGGAGAAAAAAATGAGAAGTCGTGGTGACACCATTCAAAAAGTAAACGGTTGTAGAAAAGGAGAAGGTAGCGACTTGGCATTGTCTTATGCTGTGTTACAAAGCTTGCAAAATGAAGAAAGTGATCATAAACTTGAGAGCACAGTGCGAACAGAACCGCCACCCAAAGAGTTATGTTCAACGACGTTCCATGCAAATTGGAGCTAGCCAAGCTAAGTTGTGTTCCAAAATTAACTTCTTTCCAGAGAATTATTGCCTTGTTTTGTGTTGAATTTTTTATAGTAAAGAGTGAATATATATATATATATATATATATATATTTTGTGATGTGATAGAAAGGGAGAAAAAAATGAGAAGTCGTGGTGACACCATTCAAAAAAGTAAATGGTTGTAGAAAAGGAGAAGGTAGCGACTTGGCATTGTCTTATGCTGTGTTACAAAGCTTGCAAAATGAAGAAAGTGATCAGAAACTTGAGAGCACAGTGCGAAAAGAACCGCCACCCAAAGAGTTATGTTCAAAGACGTTCCATGCAAATTGGAGCTAGCCAAGCCAAGTTGTGTTCCAAAATTAACTTCTTTCCAGAGAATATGAATTTGGAAGTTGCTTAAAATTCCCCCTTGGTTGAAGTGATTGAGCCTTTGCTCTTTGGTGATAGTTCAAACTTTTTTGTATTGTTATGATTCTACACATGAGCATTGCTTTTTGAACCTCTCAAACACTTCTTCCTTCATTTGTTAGCAACCTTTTAAACCTATAGATGTTCATGCTAAATATTCCCCACTCATTGAAATCTTTGAGGCATTTAGCTACTATATATTTCTCCTCTCTTCATTATGTAATCTTTTACTATCATTCCAAAGATTACTTCATTTCTTCACTTTTATAAAAAAATCTTAAACCCTTAGAAAGCTCTCAAACAAAACGTCTATCTTTCAGCCTAATTTAATGAAAGATCCCAACCCATCCAACCATTAAAGCACCCTCTCATCTCTCCTATTCAACTACCATTACCTTTTGGCCATGCTCACCACCACCCTAGTCCCTTAAATAACTCTAAAATTCAAGCCTTCTCTTGCCATGTCCTTCTCTCTAACTTTCTTCTTGATACAACATCACAACCATCACTTCAAAAATCCATCCCTTATTCCTTTATCCTGGCCACCATCTAAAGAGAGTTTCAACATATGGTATTTAATCACCATAACACCAAATAATTTAATTACCTTTAAAATTTATTGGTTATTGGTATTCGCTACATAATAATATTACTTGAATAAGAGTATAGTAAAACTTTTGTGGAACTTGACTATTAATTCATATGTGCCAAATGATAGAATGGTCATGTGATATTTTAGGTCAAAACAAATGTAAAATATTTTAACTGAGAGCAAGGTATAAATTTATCATATGCTAAAATTAATAATGGCATATTTTATCCCATATGAACCTTGAGATTCTTAATCCACTGCTAGTACCTACATAACTTGGTCATCCAAAAAATTGTTATTTAAATTAAAATTATTCACAATAATTTAAGAAAGATCGACCCATTTGAGTAGCACTAGCACATAGAGATGTGATTAAGGTTAAGCACCACTAAAGGAATAAGAATGACCTTATTATCCATTTAGGAAAGTTAAGGTAGAGGAACTAATCTTCGACAGTGTTAATGAATTTTATAAAATTTTAAATTTGATAGAATAGATGAATGTATTATTTGATGGGTATAATTGGATGATTACTAAAGGGTATTTTTTTGAAATGAAATAAGTTGGTAATCTAAAAATCTAGTAGAATATTATCTTAACTAAGGAGGAAAGGTTTGGGCGAGTCACACTGAATTGAATAATAATAGAAAATGTTGTATTTAAAAAAATTATTAAGGTAGCATAAAAAATAGTTATATGAGTAGTTTAGATGAGATAATAAGATTTGAAGCTCTTTCTGAGAGGTTTAGGAAGAAAATTTAGGTCTTGATAGATTTTTTTGACAAGTGGAATTAGGATTATGAACAAAATTTATATTGACCAATATATAATATGTTGAAACCTAAGAAAATTTATTTCTAACCTTAAGATTTTAATGTATCAAATACCTTAAGATTTTAATGTATTAAATATATTAGTTCTTTTGCATTAAAACTCTAGGAAAAGTTAATTCATTATGTTTAGAATCTTTCGAGTGGGTTTCATAATTTTGGAATAATTTTACATTCTTAAGTAATTTAATAAAAACTAGGCTAGGAGAATATCTCCCTAGCCGATAACATAATTGGCTTTTGAAAGTGGTCTTATAGTTAGGTAGCTACATTAAAAAAAAAGTAAATTTAGTATTATTTAATTATTTTTAAGTGAATTTTGACTCACTGAATTGACAATGAAATAAGATTAGCTTCTACAAAAGATTAGTTTTAGCCAACCAGATAATAGTTTTTTGCTTGAATTGTTGTTAATATTTAATCAAGTAAATATATTTTTAATACAATGGGAATATGGTAGAGATAAATAAAAGTTAATATTTGATAAAAAAAAAAACAAATTTGATAAATTCCAAAAACTATCCAATAATGTAAGGTTTAGAAGATGTACAAACTAACTTTCTTTGAATAGGATGGTCACCAAGCTCTATCTCATTCTTTAAAACATCTCCAAATTAAAATTTTCACCCACAAAAAACTATTTGAGTTCATTTACCCAACATTAAATTAGTTCTTATAAGTAAATTTTAAATAATAATAGAGAAGAAAATAGAGAGGGGGAAGGGTCGCATCCGTGAATGATAAAAAATGACTGATTTTTCATGTATAACTATCCATAAACATCACTTCAATGAGTTGTGCAACTACTCTTACCAAATATTTATTATTTAAATAAAATTTATATATTTTTTATTTATTTAAACTTAAATCCTTCTCCCATGATTATTGAAAATTCAAATTTCAAAATTTAAGAGCTTGAGATTTAAAATTCAAAATTTTAAATACTATAAATTTCATCAAACACACATCAAGAATATATAAAATTTCACATATTATTCATTCATTATAAAAAAAAATAAATTTCCCAAATTCAGGTTTGTTGGTTGAAAAAAGAGGAAAGTGATCTTTCTCATGCCCACCATAGGACATGAAAAATTTTTAATCATATGTGTGTTTTGAAGAATAATATACTACTATGGAAGAAAAAAAAATACTTTAAAATGGATCTAGACATTCATATGAGAAAAATCTTTAAGACTTGTGGGTCTGCATAGCTAAAAACTTTTTCCCAACCTTTCTGGTGTAAGATAGAGTTTATTTTATTTGGAGCCTACTATCCTTACAAGGTTAAATCCTCATAGCTAATTAGATTATGGAAGTTGTGGTCCTTAAAATACTCTTAAATAAAGTATTGACATATACCATACACGATTAGATGGTAAGTTGTCTTAAAGATTATTATTTTAGGACCTCAGATTGATGGATGGGTGTGAAAGAATTCGATTGGAGTGGAAAGGTTGGGGCTTACAGTCCAATGATGATATGTCATATAAAGATGAATGGACAGGGTTAACCAACTATGGGATGAGACATGCCTGAGAAATTGGAATTGTAAATTTGTTAAAATAGGTTGATTTTGGATTTTTAAATAAATAGTTTTGGTTTGAAAGAGTTTGATTTGGATTGATTCAATTTAAAAGAGTTTGATTTGGGTTGATTTGATTTAAAAGAGTTTGATATGGATTGATTTGGTTTGAAATAGTTTGATTTGGAATGATTTGATTTGAAATAGTTTTATTTGGATTGGTTTGTTTTAAGAGAATTTGGTTTGAATTAATTTGGTTATGTAATTCACCTGAGCTAAAAATTTGAGTTTGCCGGATTTTGACTAATTTGAGTTAAAGAAAGTTTGTTTTAAAGTTGTTAAAATTTTTTTCGAAGGTATTTGAAGTTTATTTGAACGTTTGAAATGCTTAATATTTTGTTGAAGTTTGTTGAATTTAATTGAAGTTTACTTATGATTTATTAAATTTTGGTGAAATTTATTTGAAGTTTGCTTGAATTTGGTTGAAGGTCATTTGAAGTTTTTGAGTTTTTTTTTAAATTAGTTAAAAGTTTGTTTGTGGCTGTCATTTGAAGTTTTTGAGTTTTTTTTTTTTTAAATTAGTTAAAAGTTTGTTTGTGGCTTGAAATTTGCTTGAAGCTAAATTTTAAAATTTTATTAGTTTTAA